TGGACAGATGTTGTTTCAGGGCTTCCTAGTTCTCTGTCTTTAATTCATTCCTGGTTTCTGCAAGACGCAGTTAATTCTTGACCAGCCACCACACGTGTGTTCCTTTGCTTTCAATTCGCCCAGCAAAATCCATTTACTCTGCCTGTCTCATCCGGTTTCCATCAAGTCTGCTGAATTCTCCTCCAGTGAAATAAGCAAGCTTACTGTAACACCCTCTTTTGTAAGAGCATGGTGAAAATGACAGTCTTTCTGGTACCTGACTATTTCCCTTCACAGGAGCTAAACATTGCTTGTTTTCAATTGTGAGCTGTTCTGACTTCTTAAAATGCATGAAGTAGTAAGAGAGTCAATTCAACCGGGAAAGAAGTTTCCAAAAGAGAATATTTACTTTGCAGTTTCCTGCAGAGAAGTTTAGGCTTAGAATTTACTAGCCAGGGCTGTGGGGGTCTGCACGTGAACACGAAGGGGAAGCAACGCAATTCAACATCTGCCTTGTCCAGAGCCAGCCATGAGGAGACAAAGATAAACTGGGGTTTAAGATGCCTGGTTCCAAAGCCCCACTCCAGTGGGTGAGTGGGAGACAGATCAAAATCTCCCCCAGCTTGCACAGCCTGGATTTTTTTTTTTTTTTTTACTTTTGGTGGCAGAGCCACCAGCCATCTTTGGATCTAGCAAAACACAATTCCAGTCCTCACCAATGCGTTTTCTACCTTGAGACACCTCTTTAGGGTTTCTCAGACTGAATTTGAGGCCAGAAAGAGAACAGAAAACGCAGACCTGTTCCTCCCATACTCCCTGCTCCTTCCTTATTGCTTTTCTGGTGGCACACACCCATGACAAAGGAGCTACAAGACACCAAGGTTATTGGCTCTGTGATAAATGCTGCCAAAGAAGCAGCTTATGAGTCAGAGTGACCCTTTGACCCAAAACCAGCCAGGGAATCAGGTCAAGCTGCTATTTGCAAGTACCTGGAGGACCCGCAGTGTTAACTTCAGCCCAGACACCAGCAGCCTCAGAGCAGGGGAGAGTCCCCGGGGATGCATACCAAGAAAGGAGACCACCAGAGAGCTCTCCCCCCATCCCCACTCCTGCCAAAGCAGGGCAATTGTACATCTGGAGCCAGGCAGCTGATGGGAACCCAGCATGGTGCACACCAAACTATGCAGAAAGAAACCTGGCCCCTGGACTCCATTTGCAAAATGCTTGAAGTCTGATGCTTTCAGCACAGGAAACATCTAAACTCCTAACACTTTAGGATTTAATTTCCCTCCTGCAGTAGCCTGGAGTTTTCATTTCTCATCCTCTCTTGTTTTGGTTTCCTTACAGTCTTTTCACATCCTTGCCTGTTTTTTTCCTTTTTTTTGGCGGCTCCTCAAGTTTCATTCTCTTTTCCAAGTTATACAAGATGAATTTAAAACTTCTGCCACTCCTCCCTGCTCATTAGCAGACATAAATTAAAAGCAGAATTAAAGAGATTACTTGCAATGCCACTTGAGACACCTTCAAGCCTCTTATTGCTTTACCATGTACCGTGAATTCTGACCCACCAAGGGACTTTACATTCAGACCTTGCCAAATGTTTATCTGCATCCTGTTAGATAGGTTGGGGGGAAAGAGCTCCCATCCTTCTCAGAAATAAAGTCAGATTAAGACTTTGCTGGAAGTTTTCCATTCCTGCATCAAGTTTTGTTGCAAAAAAAGTTACCACCTGCTAAGGTGTTTTGACACTTAATAGCAGATCTGGCCCACTGCAGGAAAAAAGCCAAAACCAAACCAAAACAAAACCAAACCATGCAACAAATTTTTGTTTGTTTGTTTGTTTGTTTGTTTCATGGAGTTTGGGTAGAATGTTTCAGACCTGTACTAGAAACAGCTACCACCTGCAGTGTCCTGGTCAGCCACAACCTCCCACAGAGACCACAGCAACAGGGATTCAAGGAAAATCACTGCCCACCAGCCTGCTGCCAGGACCAAGAGCATGCATCTTTGTCACTTCCAGGTGACAAACAGCTGAGGATCTGAAGACTTTTATTGCTATGCTCAGCTGCACCTATCACCTCTGCTCTGTGATCCTCTGTGTGTCAGGGAAGAGGCTGACAGGGGTGGCACTTGCTCCATGCTCAGGGGTGTGCTGACATTTGCACCCAGCAGCTCAGGGACACAGTCTGAGTGCAATCACAGCTATTTCTGAAGTCTCATATGATGTTCACAGGTACAGCCGCTGCTGTTAAAAGCTCAGTTGGCACAAACCAAAGGGCATAGGGCTTACAGAGTCCTGCCTGTCCCACAGCGCCATCTGCACCTGGACATATCGATCCAGGCAAGATGCAGAACTGAGCTCAAGTGCCCCAGGGATGGAGGGCAGGGCACTCAACCACTGGTGGGAAAAGAGCAGCAAGAAGGATGGAGCATATGTCAGGAGATATTCTACCACAGCTGGTCACCGGAAAGGGGCTGGGAGTGATGAGGACAGAGCACAGAGCCAGCAGCTCAACAACTGTCAGCTCAGAGCGCCAAGGCACGGCGAGCGCACACGGGCCATCGCTGCTACGTAAGGCACCACATGCCTTAATCTCTCCCAGGGGAGAGAACCTCCTCCAGTCCAGACTGTTTGTGTACTCAGCTAATTTTGTTGCCTGACTTTCCACCTACTTGCTCAGCGGAAAACCGATCCTCCCCAGTCATCATCACTATTCCATCCCTACCCTCGGACCCGGGGCCATGGCACAAGCAAAGCCCTGCCACGCTGCATCAGCTGCACACCCAGTGTCACAAGGGCAACTGGCTCTCCTTGCCGTGTCCCCTTGGCTGAAGCTCCCCTTCCAGGCTGAGCACCACCTATGCCAGCACAATCAAACACTGCAGCCCACTTGTTAACTTAAAAGAGCCTCCTACATCCCAAAATGCTGCTCCAAATGTGCTCTGTGGCTCCTACACACAAGTCAGGCTGTTCAAGCACAGTAATATAATTAAGGGGAAAAAAATGCCCTGCATACACCAGGGAGTATCCTTAACAGCATGAGCTTAGTATTAGCTCTTGCTAGAGCACAGTGAGACTATTCCTGGCTACTGCCTCCAGTGCTGGTGTCCACACTTGTGGAAAAAAAAGGAGGTTGTGGAAGTGGAACAGCTTCCAAAAATAATTAGTAGAATGAATTGGGAACTGGAAAGCCTGCTGTGCAGACACAGGCTTGAGCGCTCAATTGGTTCAACTAAGCCAAGAGATGATCAGGAGAGGACTTAATCACCCCCTGCAAAAGTGCAGGGAGAAAATTTCTGCTGGCAGTGGGACTCACGTCCAGGGCTGCCTAGATTCCACACAACAAAGGCTAAGGAGAAAACTCAGCTTGTGGGTCACTTTTAGAGGGTGAACTAGACTGGAGAGGCGAGTATTGTGCCCAGGTCTCAGCTACATCTGAAAGCCACCAGACCCATTAGGGCCTGAGCTGTAACAGAGGAGGGCAAATCTCCAACTGGAGATGCCCTGGTCCCCTTCCCTGGACCAGCCAAAAAGATGAACCAGAAGCCAACCTGCATCACAACACCAAGGGCATCTACTACAGCCCACCCTCAGATGTCCCTCTGCACCCTTCCTTTATCTCTTAATTTCACATGTAAGAGACTTGCCAGAGGAGAAGCCCATGTTCTCAGAGTCAGGCCAGTGGAAAAAGAGAAGGCAGATTATACTGCTTTCAAAATACAAGTCAGCCATCCTGACTGGATCAAGGGGAAGATCACTTTGGATAGACCAGCAACCTCAAAAGGTCAGGACAGGCATTCAAAGTGCTTCACCATCACTTTGAAGTCTCACTGTTCTTCCATTCCTGCTTCCATATTGAAACCAGTTTTGTCAGGGAAGCTCTGCAACTCTCAAACTCACCTGCAACACCAAAGCCTGGTTTTCACTCACCCCTCCAGCTGCAGCTCACTTCACCTTTAAGGCACAGCTGCTTGAGATGCCTCTTTGAGCTGAGTAATAAATGGCAGCTTTCAGGCTGGGGCTGTAATCCCATTTCAGAGGGGCATCCTGGAGCTGAACTTGCACGTGAGAGTGCAGAGACATAACACCACTTCATGTGGGGACAGGATCAACTCACTGGGAGCCCTTCCTGCCCCTCAGACTGGGGCGTCCTTTGCACTGTCAACAACCCTGGCACCAGACTACCTTCTTTTTTTAAAGCAAAGGGACACAGTTATTTAAATTCTATCATTAATTCCCTTAATGCCCTGAAGAGTATTTGCTGAGGTTAGCCAAGCATTTGAGATGCTTTCAAAGTACCCTCAAGCTTTCCTTAATAGCTATTTCTGTATAGTCATGTTTTGTTCCCAATCTCCCACACATCTCTTTGGGCTTTTTTAGTCTTGCTAAAGACAGGTATAAAGCAATGGCAAGGATCTCAATCTTTTCCTCTCTCTCAATTTGAGGGAGGAAAAGAAATTGGTGAGAAAACAATTCTATTTAATGGACTTATTGTCTCTCTTCTATTTTCTTCTCCCTGGCAGTACTGTGAAAAAGCTTTTCTCCTTCCTTCCATCACCAGCTGGAAAGGCTGAGATCATGCACCACAGACACTTTGACACTTAGAGATTCATCCCATCGTGAACTCCAGAGCATCCACACTCCTCTCTGACATCTAGCAGCATCCTTGCAGATGACTTTTTAATAGTTTGACTGTTCTTCCCAGGCCTGCAGAAATCCACATATGAGCACACTTCTTAATTTTATATCCCTCACTGCTGCATGTTTTCTCACAATTTTTTTCCTTTCCTCTCCCTGATGCAATTCTCCAGGGCCACTTCACACCTCCAAGAGCCTCCCATTTCAAAGTCCACTTTCTACTTCAGTTTCTCCAGATACAGAATTATTAACCTAAAAATGCAACAGGGCAAGATATTCTGGGGATGTAAAGCTTCCTACAACCTCACATCGAGAATCCTGCCCCAGGCACTTTTTCCTCCCACAAGAGTCCTTCACTGTTTCATCACAGCTTTCCCATCACCTTCTCCTGAAGGCAGTAGAACCAACACAAGTTCTTTGGTCACCAGACTTCTGTGTGCTTGCAGTGCTGCCACTCTGCATCAGTGCTGAGCCACCTTGTCCCCACCATCCACTTCCAGTTGTGTCTCTGCAGAATTCCCAGAGCCTTCAGCTGGGCAGCAGCTCCAACACCACTCACACAGAAAGAGGCCCTGCCTGGAAAGATATTGATAGAGCCTGTGCAGATACAGCAGCAGTAGGGAAGGAAAAAAAAAAAACAAACCAAAACCAAAACAAAACCAGGTCGGGAGAGAGGAAGGCAACTTGTTGCAGGGCATCAAGCAGAGCAGGCTGTGTGCTCCCTCTCCACTGCCTGAGGTGCTCATCTGCAACCATTCCTGATGGAGATTGGAGCACAAGCGCGGCTTCCAGGCACCAGGGCAAAGAAACCTCCCTGAGAATGGAGGAGAGGCTAGAAGAACCAGCCAAAACAGGCTGTTTTGGTTTTGCATGAACTCTACCCACCCTTCACCTTCAGGGACCCTTCCTGCCCTTGCCACAAGTAACAAGCACATATAATTGAAGGAAAACGTCATTTCCCAGAGCACTTCTGATCTGTATTATCCATGCTCATTACAAACTGAGAGGCGTGTTCTGGTCTCCATCAGCTCCAAGCAAACAGGAAAATGCAGCACAGGGATAAGGGGCAGAACTGCTGCTGGGAATGCATAAAAACCAAACCAAAACCACTCAGTAGCTCATGAAGGACCTGCAAAGACACATGGGTTTGTGCTCAGGCCAGGATATCAAAGCACCAGGGCATTTGCACAACCCAAGTTGCTTCCTTGAGCTTATCTAAGAGAGTAAATTTAACTGGACAGTCCTGGGGCATCAGAGCCAGAGTTCAATTCTCATCTGTTGACTTTCCGGAGTTTTGTCCTGCCCTCCTCTAGATTGCCTCCTAACTTTGGCAACAGTACCTCACTGGTGAGTCTGACAAAATGAGTCCTCAGAAAAAGAAGTTTTTCTTTCTTTTCAGTCATTTTCTTAAATTTGAGAAGGGGGGAGTCTGTCTCTTTTTTTTTTTTGTTTGTTTGTTTGTTTTGCTTTTTGTTTTGTTTTGTTTTTGCCATTACACATGGAGTTAGTTGCTACTGAGCTTTTTCTGCTTCTACTGTGCTGCCATGGCTGGCTGGAGCCTTCTCAGGAGGTGACAGACACATGGGATGGACACATGGGATGCAGGACAGACAGACACAGACACATGGGATGCAGGCCACGCACCCCAGCACCTCACAGCTCCTCCCCGGTTGGAGAATTTTCAAAAAGGTGTTCAAGGACCACATTTCACCAGCTCACTGCAGAAAGGCCCTATGCTCAGCAGCAAGGCACTAGCAGAAAAGCAGAGGAAAGGTAGATAAGCAAGAAGATTTAGGGGGGAAAAATTTTGCTTTGGCAGCACATTCAAGGTCCCTCTCTCCAGACGGGATGCTGCATGCAGCCCACATACTAAAATCAGACTGCATTTTTTTTTTTAATAGCATTAGTCTCAATCAAGGAAGCAGAAGAGGCCTGGCCAACCTGGACAGAGAGTAACTGCAGATGGAACTACCCACAGCAGTGCTATTTTCCTCTCAGGGATGGTGGGAGACACAGATCTGGAAACATCACCCATCTCCGAGTCATCTCCTGCAGCTGCTGTGACAAATGTGGGGACAGATGGGGAAAGAGTGATGGGAAGCAGCAGTGACAGGCTGCAGCAACATACCACCTTCCTTTAATCAGCCTCTGTGTGTGGAGATTCCGGGTCCTGCTTGCTTCATATGCACCCAAAAACCATCTCCCACTCGCTCAAACCTCATCCCCCTCCTCTCTTCAGCCCTTCTTGCTCCTTTTCTTCCTTCCCTGCTCCCATTAGGGCCAGGAAACTCTCTGGTTCAGCACCTTCCCTTTGTGAATTACGTGATTTATAACATCTCCAGCCTGGTAAACTATAAGGTATTGGAGAGGATCCAGGACTGCAGGAAGCATATCTGCCTTGGCAAAGACAAGGAGCAGAGGAAGAAACTGGATGGGAACTAGATGGGCTCTTCCTTCACCTGGTGCCCCAACCTCTCTTTTCCAAGCCGTGTGATTTATCTCTCTCCGGACCATCTCGGCAGGAACCAGGTCCATTACAGAAATTAAAATGTGCCTCTGCCAGCAGCTGGCAAGATCAAACCCTCAGCACGCCTGTCCCCTCCAAGCAGGGGTGGCAGACACCACGGAGCTGGCAGCCAAGCGCAGCAGAGAAGGTGCCAAGAGCAGCTCCTGCACTGCGCCCCCCTGGGCCACCAGCTCTGACGCCTGCTGGCCAGTGGCACCTCTCAGAGGGCCAGGCAGCTGCCAGTCTGAAGCTGGATTCTGGCACAGCCAGGCTTCCAGGAGCAATGGGAGAGCAAACACAGACCTGCCACTTCATTGCTTGCAGCCCACGGCACCAGCACATGCAAGGTGTTAGAGAGACATCAGGATGCTTCAACACTGAGACCCAGTTTGGGGTGTAAGGAGAAGAAAACCCTTTCACTTCACCCCACAACTTCCCTTCCTAAGGAAATGTCCCCAGTAAGAAAATGCCTGAATCAAGGAAAGATTCACCTCCCAGGACAAATAATCATCACAGGAGGCTGGTGGCTGCAGGTACCGCAAAAATGTATGACCAACCAAGAGATCCTTTCCCAAAAGAAAGGCTTCAGCTTCTCTCACACAAGAGAAGCCCTAGAAGAGGCAGTTTGATGTCTCATTGACTGCAAACACATCAAGATCATTATCATTCCCTACAAAAATCTTTTTTGCTCATGTATTTCCAAATGATAACATGAGAGCATTCAATCTTGAAGACATTTGTGCTCTGAGCTGGTGACAGCTCTGGAGAAAGCACAGGAATAAATGCCTGGGGAAGCGTATTAGAAGGGCTCAGAGCTGGCAAGGCAGGCACAAACTTCTCCTGAGCAAGATGAGCTCAGTCAGGCATTACTGACAGAAACAAGAAGAGAGAAATGCATCCCATGCTGGGAGGAGATGAATTCCAGGTGCTCCATCCCAACCCCATGCAGCAGCACATTGCTCCCTAGGACCAGCCATCCTCAACCCAAGACACTGAAGGCTTCACTGAGCAGCCCAAAAACTGCTGCAAAGGCAAAACCTCACAGCCACACAGCAGCACTTGCACACACAAGCAGCTGTAGGAGAGGGAGAGCAGGTTTGTGAGCAGAAAAATGTTGGAATATATCATAAAACAGCCCGTGGATTTTTGTCATAAGAGAGAAGGTGGCCCTTAAAAGTCAGGGAATGCAGTCATGAAAGCTCAGATCTTCATGGCCACAGCAAGACCACAAAAGAGAGAAGCCTTAAAACCAAGGCACCTGAAAAAACTCCCACTGTTTCCTTGATGCAGAGAATGCAGAAGATGTGCACAGACTTAGCCTTAACAGTAGGACAAGGTGCCCTTGTGCACTCAAGCACTAAAACAGGAGCTTGTTCCACCTGAGGTTCTGCTGGCCTAAGGTATTGAACAACCAAAGGGCAGATAAGAAACCACCAGCTTCAGCAGGGTATCAGACAGTTTTGCTTTTCAGTAAATTTCCTGCAAACAGACTTCTTGCTGGTACTTTCCATTGCTTAAGACAAAAGAATGGAAGTTATCATCTGGACAGTCAGAGTACTGCCATGCCAACAATCAGCCTAATCCCTCTGATTAGAAAAGGATTTGGGGAAAAAAAACCAAAACAAACCACAAACCAGGAAGGGAGATTTGCTTACTTCCTTCCTCTGTATTTCAAAGCAACCCACGTTGTGCTGTGCCACAAAGTAACCTTTTACCAGGCTGTCCTCAGCCCAGCCGGATATGACAGGGCACTGAGCACTCTATCTAGGGCCAGATAGCTAATTAAATGCCTCTGACCATGCCCTGCTAAAGGGATCACAGCAATCTGCCCACACAACAGCAATATCCTCCTGCACATCACCTGGGAGAGCCTGGAGTGACACTACCCTGGGCTGGATGTGAGCCCTGACCTCCCAGTGCCCTTTCAAACCTTCTGCACTCTGTTCCCTGCATTGCCACGATGCTCTCACTCCTGGCCACAAGAAGCCTGCCAGCGTTGCTGATCAGCTGCATGATCTGCTTAAGAGGGGAAGATCAAAGCACACCAACCAGCTCCTTTGCAGCTAGTGCCATTTCTGTCCCACTCTCTCAGTTCTCAGGGAAGCACTGGGGTCAGCCATGTGCAGGTAGCACTGGCTGGGCTTACCCATGCCTGTCCCCCAGGAGCTGGACGATGCTGGAGAAACGTCGCATCTTTGCAATCAAATGCAATTCCAAATCCCCAATCCAAATGTGGGAAACAGCAGAAGGGAAAGCAAAAGTACCCTTTGGCAGGTCCCTTTCTCCCAGGGAAGGTCACTCGGGCCAGCAGATGCAGGGAGGCGTCAGAGTGGGGCTCTCCATCAGCTGTTGACAGCACAGACACTTCATCTTCCGCCAGCAGGAACGTCTGGGCAGCCCTGCATAAGCTCCTCGGGTACTCTGGACCATCACCAAGTGACAGTTCATCCTCACTCTCCCATCCTTGCCAGCCTTCTGACCCATCTACTCCCTAAATAGCTTGGATCGTTTCAAAGGGATGGTACACAGAACAAGGGGTTTAAAAAAAATCTTCTCCCCTTCTCCCTCCCTCACCTGCCTGTGCATCTTGGTCCGAGGCTCTGGGTCAAACAGAGCCTCCTTCAGTTCAAGGCAGATGGAATCCTGTGATTTTTAAGTGACCATCTGTGACCCAGAGCTGCAGCGCGGAGAGACTGGATATAGACCTGCATCTTAAGTAGATTGGATTTGGTATTACACTTACACAGCACAGGCAGCAGAGAGTTCCCCCAAAGGCTTCACAGCCAGATGTAACAGCAATATGCAAAGCTTAATGCCATGCAGGGAACATGCTCTCCACTGGCTGCTCAGACCCTGCCCCACCATGGGGAGCAGGAGCCAGCAGGTCCTTTGTTTTTTCCGTAAGGAAAGAGCTACCGCTGCTCAGGTTTTGGTCACCTAAAAGAATGTAGGCACACTGCTACCAAGGAGAAAATGCACCACATCTGCAGGCTAGGTCCTGGTTAGGGTTATCCTAACCTGAAAGCACCAAACCAGCCTGCTATGATCTATACAAAGAGCAAGACACTGC